TAAGTGAATTTCGCTTTTTGGACTTCAGCATGCGACTGTAGTCCTTATCCACTTACTCTTTCTAAGTTATCAGATTTTTCTTACGAAGTACGGACACAGTCCAGTGTTTGGCGGAATAGAGGAATATATTTGAAAATAAAGACTAGAAAAGACGGCAGAGATATGACGGAGTAGCACGCGAGAGAAAGAGGATAGGAACGGTCTAGACTTTACGTCACACCTAGATTAAATATTTGATATTTTGCAATGGCAGCGAAAAGCTCCTTTACGTTGATCGTAAATTTAATTCAAGGTTTCGGTTGCTGGAATTTCTTATTATTAATGAACGTTTATTTTACCATATATATGGTGTATATATATATATATATATATGTATATATATATATCGTCCGGTCACGGTAGCCGAGCGGTCTAAGGCATGTACTGTCTTCGCTCGCTTGGAAACCGGGATCGTGGGTTCGAATCCCACTCAGGGCATGGATGTTTAGTTTGTGTTTGTCCGTTTTTCTGTGTTTGTGTACAGGTAGAGAGGCCTTGCAACGAGCTTATCACCCGCCCAAGGAGTCCTACCGAATGTGTAAGATCTAGAAAAACGAAGTGAACGGAGAAGTTCATGGAGGTAGGCCTAGGCCCACTGGGGCTGTAGTGCCAAGAAAAAAAATATATATATATAGACTACACGACGTTATATCCCAGAAGATGGCTGTTTTCAAAAGATATTTGGTTCATAAATTTTTATTGTGTTTATCATGGAACATACTCCAATGTGAAACACGATATTGATAACAAGGAAACTTGTACTGCATGTGCTTATAAAATACTCTGCGGGGAGACAAAAGATTAAATTACAAACGTAATTGTATTCCATTCTCAATATATCTGTGTATTTCATCTAGCGTTTCGTCATATGACTAATTTCCCATGAGAGTATTGGATATCGCGGAAATGATGATCCCTATATCGTAAACCCTGGTGTGCCATATCACTGCAACCAGAAGTGTGTGGGCTTAACTGTGAGCTTTCCTGTCCCTCTGAAAACATGCTTTTGACTGGAAATCGTTATATCCCTTCATAGAATTTGCTTCTGCTCTTCCAGCATAGTTTATACGCAACTGGCTTGAATTTGTTACCCCTATCGGCTTAATATCTAACTAATGCAGCGACATTCTGTTTCTTCAACATCTTGAAGGGCGCGCCATAACTGGATTGTGAAGCAGATTGCTGCGTGATCACAAATTGACTAACTTATGTATGTTTAATAAATTGGAACTAAACGCTGTAACCTAGAGCTAGTTGAACACAAAGGTATTCACTTTTAAGTTGCCAATTAATGATATGACGTAGCCACAAAGATATTTTAGACAGGCAGTAGCAGTGACAGAAGTGCAAACGCTTGATATTCTAACCCGGTCTTTAACACGATTCTGAGGCATTGAATCAACCTACAGTCCTCAAATCCCATAATCACAGAAGTTACAGATATAAAGTTAAAATAAAAGACAGGAAATGAAGATTAGTGTTTTCCGAAATGTGACATCGTATAGTTTTGTAGAAATTCAATGACGTTTCTAAGGAAAGTGCTGCTTCTGCTCTCCGAGTATGAAGGTAACACTTTCCTCCGACACGTCGGCAAAGATCCATGCATCGTGACATAATGGGAGGCAGGTGTCTTCACAGTAATTTCCATGAAAACACCGAACGTCACCCTGTAGACGATATTTCGGATTGTGCTCTTCTCAACTGAGACGCCGTGTAGGTTTGGAGATGAACACTTATGTTCCGCACCAACATGGCGCTGCCTCTCAGTGGTTGAAATGTCTAAGAATTGGCTCTGGCCAGGTTATTGGTATAGGTGGGTTACGAATGAATGCTTTGAAGGTGGCCATGAAGGGGAAGACAGAAGAAACATATCCAGTCCTTACGTTAATCATTTCTCTTCTCAATATGAATGCAGCATATACCTCGGAAATATTGGAACGCAGTTCCAACACTATACGTTCTCACGGCGCAGAACAGTTACAACCGTGAAAACCTAAAAATTTCTACAGGAAGGGCGCAGAGTACGAGTAAAATTCAAATGAACACAATGGCGCCTAAATTACTTATTTGTCTATGCAGAAGACATGTGTTGACTGGGACTGTAAACACAATAACAAATAAGGGAAGAATTATCTCTGAGCCTAACATGCGAGTATATACTGAAGAAACACGATGGGGAAAATTGCGAACAATATTGTAGCGTGTTTTGGTATGTTACGCTAAAAATAAGTTTACGCCGTGGTATTTGATATAGCGAATTTATTCCGCTCTCTCACCTTACACGCCTTACAATCATCTGCTCTTGCAGTGTTACAATCACTGCTTACAATATCTCGGCGATACTGGACTGTCTTCTTTAGCGGGTGGATCCAGACTGACTGTTCGAATGCATTCAACCCCGTTTTATAACCTCGGTCGCTGCTGTGCAAACGAACCCTTTGTTATAACCGTGGAGACTCCTGTTAGAACTACAATAGAGCGATTGTTGTTTCCTATGCAACGGTCTATTCTAGCGTTTCCATAGAAGTGACTCTTCTGGATTCCAGACACGTTACAATATCAGGAACGGTGACTCGGGCGGCTGATGGGAGGAATTCGCCGTAGTAAAAGCTTCAACAGTCACACTGGACGGAATTGTTTTATCATTTGTAATATTGTTAGTGTGACGGACCAGAATGAAACAAATCAAATTTTTCTTGTTCCTCATACACGATTAACTTATCGAATTCGATAAGAAAGAGCCTCTGCAGTTAATAAAGCGGCTTTAAATAAACAACGAACCAGATACTATACTTCAGTCGGAATATCAACGAAATTCTTGTAGGAAACAGGAGGAAGGTAGCAGGAATGTGATTGCAGTTCACAACTCACCGCTTGTTTCGCAGTGTTCGCCGTGACGTAACACAGTCAGTATTGCTGCAAATGAAGAGACACATCGTGTGAACCGCGCGGACATTTCCCCGGCCTTTGGGAACCAACACGGTTATCGCTCGTCGCCTATACTCTGGTCACATGCACTGCATAGAAGCTATGAGTACAGCATAACCTGAAGGGGATGCTGTGAACACAGTTTAATTGTTAAGTCTGAAAACGAGGGGATTCGTTGCTGTTTCTGGTGTAGGCAAGTAGATTCATGTGAATATTCTCCACTACCTGTTGACAGCTTGCGGAAGTGGGGCTTCCAGAAGAGACCTGAGCTTACAGTAGTTATCAAATATCAGTAAAGTTATCTTGCCGGGTTCACTTTCTCATACGTAGCAAAAAGAAAGCACAATTAACGTAAAGTTGTCCGTGGGCTTAATCGATTCAGCACCACACAACGAAGTGATGGGGGAGTGAAGGTATAGCTCCACCATTATTGATCTCGGCAATACTTGGAGGCGAGTGGTCAGCTTCACGCCCCGGTCGCTTAACCTCATGGAAAGACTCCCCGTACCCATTCAATAGGAAGCGGGCTGGGCCCCAGAGTCGGTCTGGACGCTGTGAAGCCGAAGAAATATCTCTTGCCTCTGCCGAGAATTAAACCCCGTCTGTCCTACCCTCAGCCCCTCGCTATAGCGACTGATTTATCCCGGCTCCCAAAGAAGAAAGAAATACCAAAACTATTAAAATAAATAAAAGTAAAAAAGTAAGTAAAAGTATCCTTGTAACAAGCCGTGGAGGTTCATAGGGTTGTGAGATGTTGAGATTCTCACATTTTCTAGACAATCGGCTCATAGATGGCGGTAAGGTTGTCAGCCTTAAGCCCCAGCCGCCCTTTACCCCCAAGAACATTCCAAGAATTTTCCTGGTACTCCTTTCTGTTAGAGGCTGAGTGGACCCCAGGGCCATAGTGCGGCTGGAAAGATTAGGCAAATTGAAAAAATCCAATAACCTCATCGGAATTCGATCCCGCTACCTTCTGGCTTGTACCATAGTGCCTCAACCAACCACGCTACCGCCTGCCCAATTAATATGTATATAAAATAGTTTTAGTCCAATATAAATTGTCTTGTTAATGTTCTTCTTGTATAGCAATGCAGTTCAAAGCCTTCTTTTCTTCCGAATTCCGTATTCTTGTGTATTGATATTTGGTAGGATTTCATTGAAGGGAATCAGTCCGTCTCAGGACCTTTACCAATAAACGACAAAACAAATGCAGAAAAGTTAGATACATGCTACATCCATGTCTCGAGTGTGTCAGAACCCACGGTCCAGTTCTCCATGGCGCAGGAGACAATACGAGGTCTTATATCACATGTTATTAAACTTTATATTTTTGACCTGAAGCTTGGGTTTGGAAAGTCCAGTGTGGTCCATTTCAAATTCGCTTAACACTATGGGAACTCCAATTAGAATTTAGGATAACGTGTCAGAATTATTTATTAATAATGTAAATTTATCTTGTGATACTATAGTTCGCTTGCGGTCTAAAATTACCGAGTTGTTTTTTGATACATATATTATATGTGTACATATAGTGTCTACTCAGTTTAAATAGCTGTAAACTATTTAGAAAAACGATAAATTTCAATTTTTTTCTTTTCAGACTCTTCAGCTTCTCATCTTAAAAACCAAATTCGTCCCTACATATAGAAATTTCTCTTCCTTTTTTACAGAGAAATATGACTGCGACTTATCGGTAAACATTTGTGTCTTTCGCTCATTCACTCTATTGCATATCTCTCAGGCGTATGGTGGGCTGAGACTGAGTCCACGTGGTACGTTGGCCACAGTTTGCCTATTTTACCAGCCCCAGATGATAGATGATGACGAATATGAAGTAGTCGGTGGAAAGAGAATTGGTAGGGGAAACGAAAGTATTTGGAGAAAACCTCCAGCGCCACATTGTCCACCACAAATCCCATATGTCCTGACCCAACTCGAACCCGGGCCACCACAGTGGGAGTCCGGCGACTAACCCCCCGAACTATGGCACGGCCTTCTCAAGTGTATAATGTTTTGTTTTATTATTTTTGCAGGGGTCGCTTACCAACCCGAGTTCGCCGAGCCTATCACTAACCTTACAGTGCCTGTGGGCAGAGACGCAACGTTCCAATGCATGGTGATGCATCTCGGTGGCTACAGGGTAAGTTCCTTTGCACTGAACTCCCGTGAAGCGGAGCCTTTCAGAAGTTAACAGTAACTCAGTTGGTCAAGAAATTCTCCGTTTGTTATAGAACCAGAAGGCCGATGTCCATGAATACTGAAGTTCTAATGACGGTGCCTACAAAAACTATCGGTTCCGGGATGTGACATCGTATAATTTGGTAGATGTATGTCATCGTTCAACAGGAACGTAAAAGATAAAATCTAAAGCTATCCCCGTAACAGGCCGTGGAAGCCCATAATGCTGTGAGACGTCGAGGCTCCCACATTTTCTAGGTAATCGCCTCAGAGATGGCGTTAAGATTGTCAGCCGGCCGCCCTTCACCTCCAGGAAGATTCTTGGTACTCATTTCTGTTAGAAGCTAAATCTACCCCAGAGTCATAGTGCAGCTTGAAGCATTAGGTCAAATCAAAAATCAAGTAACCTAATCGGGAACCGAACCCCGCTACCTCTCGCATCGTAGCATAGTGCCTCAACCAACTACGCTACCGCGCGCTCTCTCAACAGGAAAGTACTTTGTATAACTTAGATTCTGTTAGATTCTTTATCTCTTAACCATCTTATTCCTTCCTCGCCCATGTTGACCCTCTGTAGCTCCTAACTTCTGCTCGCTGTATAGTTTCTCTCAACGCCACATTATTCCCACTTGTCCTCTTACAGCCCTCGTCCTGTTCCTCCCCTCCTTATATGCGAATCGTTTTCTTGCACGCTGTGCTTACATCGCTACACTTACAAGGAAGACAGGAGGGTCCTCCGAGATTTGGTGCCTATCTGCCAAAATGCGCTGCACCACATCTTACAATACAGCAATCTTCACGCCCACCGCCTTCTAAATATAAGCCTGAAGCCTGTCCGCAATAAAATCTGATCGACGTATTATTTAATACTAGTCCCATCCTGCCGTGTTCTGCGTAGGTCCACCAAGCGATATAATGCCTCCAGTTTTCTTGTACCCATTTGTCGTCGTTCGAAAGTGCGTTACGTTTCCTGACCGTATCAACCTGCTTGATTTGTTGACCCTAGATATATCACATGAACCGTTCCCAATTATTAAGTTTCGTGTAATTCTGTGTAAGGCATCGTGATGACAGTTCTGTATAATGATCAACCCGAAAATATTTTGTGCTGCCGTGACACTCTGACTGAAGCATGGAGCCTGTTGAAAGATTTACAAAAAAATATTACAGTTCTCAAGATTATATTCAATCGTTCTGTATTTATTTTACATTTGTATTTCACAGCCACGCTTTTGAAAAATGGCATGACTGTTTATGAACTCAACGAAATTGAGTAGTTATTAAAATGTAGATGTATTTACAACAATAGAAGTCTTAATGGAATAAAAATACATACCAAACCTTGCTGATATCTAATATTTTTTTTTCCTTGGCACTACAGCCCCAGTGGGCCTAGGCCTACCTCCATGAACTTCTCTGTTCACTTCGGTTTTTCTAGATCTTACACTTACGGTAGGACTCCTTGGGCGGGTGATCATGTCGTCGCAAACACGGAAAAACGCACAGACACAAACTAAACATCAATACCCTGAGTGGGATTCGAGCCCACGATCCCGGTTTCCAAGCGAGCGAAGACAGTACAAGCCTTAGACCGCTCGGCTACCGTGACCGGCAGTGTATAAGAATAATATATAAGTATTCAGTTCGTACCTCACAGGAAACAGATTCGAGCCCACGATCCCGGTTTCCAAGCGAGCGAAGACAGTACAAGCCTTAGACCGCTCGGCTACCGTGACCGGCAGTGTATAAGAATAATATATAAGTATTCAGTTCGTACCTCACAGGAAACAGATTCGAGCCCACGATCCCGGTTTCCAAGCGAGCGAAGACAGTACAAGCCTTAGACCACTCGGCTACCGTGACCAGCGATATCTGACAATAAGATACGAAAATTGTAATTAGGTCTCAGGTGCATCTCTTTTGATATTTATTGTGTCCATCTTCTGGTCCTATCCTTAACTGCGGCCAACTGTGCTCTAACGTGCATACCAAATGTAGTACGTGTTGACGTAACAGCATATGTTGGGCTCTTACAAATTTGGATAGAGTGTCCGCAACTACCCATCATATCTGGAACTCGTCACCTCCATCCACAGCCCAAGAACCCGCCGTGACGTAGTGGCCCTCATAAAGTGCACATTAAGTTACAGCAACATGTTCGCTTCACGTGATTCAAGATTGTAAATGCGTTATCAGAATTTATGTTCATCACCGTTCTAAATACGAATGACTAAATTTCAATTTACATTTATGGAACAGATGAGTTTCCTTACGAAGTAGTTCTATAAGAAATATATTGTGACGGAATATGACCATCTGCTAGGCAACGGCTAGGTAAACACTACTCTAAAACCAAGAATAATAACAGAAGCGGAAGTGATTTTATTAGGCAACAGTTAGGTGGCACCTGTTCCCGCAGCAATGAATACACTTACAGGAATGAAAGCGTTGCCACGAGATTTGATATACGTTCAGTGGCAACGGAAGAACAGAATAAGACAAACTGCTGGAAATTGTGGCTTCTATCCCGGCCGAGTGGAAGTTACAAAAGGCAGTGGATTCGTGAATTCGAGGAGTAGAGCGCAGCCCGAAACTCAGGCAGCAGTGAGAGATTAGTGAGAGATTTGCCAGACAGATGTCGTTCAGAAGGAGTTCAGTGTGTGAGCTGTTATAATTCACTATAATTGTAAAGAAGAGAGACGTGCCAGTAAACCCAATCATCAAATCTATGTAATCCATTAATTATTCCTTACGCAAACCCTTTACAAGTGACAATTTGAAAATAAAAATGAAACCGTTGTGGTAAAAGGAATTATATCTACTGGTATGTAACGCCGTGTAGACCGTTCACGCCGTGAAACACGGAACTAGCAGAACTTGATGTTGGTGTAATTTTCGAACCAAAATTTCAATATGTCCCTCCGAAACGTCGGTTGACTTTCACCTAATTACATGGTACTACACCTCAAAAATATAACTCTTAAATATCCAAGGCTGTGAGAACCTCAAATACAACAGGGATACAACCTCTTTATTACAACCGTCACAACACAACTAATATCAAGATCAGTGCCTAGCTACGGCTCTGCTACATGTTTCGGCTATCAATAGCCATCATCAGGCAAATACACGGTTAACATATATATATCACTGAACTGCAGTACTAGTAAAATTGGATACAATACTATTAATTATATAAAACACTTGACGTAAAAATACAATAAATCAGATTATTTTTTTACGTCAAGTGTTTTATGTAATTAATGGTATTGTATCCAATTTTACTAGTACTGCAGTTCAGTGGTGTATATATGTTAACCGTGTATTTGCCTGATGGTGGCTATTGATAGCCGAAACTAGGCACTGATCTTGACATTTGTTGTTTTGTGACGGTTGTAATAAAGAAGTGTATATTGTAACACAACAGGATGCATGAAATGAAAAAAAAAGCAACAGGGATAGATATAAGAAGGTATAATGAAGAAAGAAGGGGAAAATGAAATAAAAGAAAATAACGCTAACGTGGGCTATTGAATTTTTCTGACGTGTTTTATACATTTGCAGAAACTATTGTTCGTGTGGGTGTAAGAGCAGACTGTAGGGTTATTAGAGCTGTTGAAACCTTATGGAAAATGGAAGAGAATGAAATAGAAAAGACTAATATAGACGGATTAATATGAAACACAAAAATATTAAAATTGACTCCATATAAGACTATTGTAATTTTATACACATGCGGAGTATACAATAAAAGAAAAATATCCTTGGTTTTAGTCCGCAAGCCAACTATACCGACCGAGCAACCGCCGCTCTTTGGCCAAGTTAGTGCCATCTTTAGAGGATAGAGGGTGTCGCGTGATCAGCGAAACGAAACTCCACGGCCGTGAATTTCTGTTTTGTAGACCGGAGCCGCTACTTTTCCATTCAAGTAGCTCCTCAACTATCCTCATGAGGCTGAGTGGACTCCGTTCCAGAAACATTACTTCTCAGAAAATTTGGTAGCACCAGAAATCGAACCCCGACCTCTGGATCTGTGGCCAGGAACTCTGACCACTAGACCACAGAGGCGGTCGCGGAGTGTACAAAAAAGTTTAAAAATATTTTTTTCCATAAGAGGGAATCTTATTCAAAGGGTATGTACGAGCTCCTGTAGAACAGGATTGAGAAGTCGTGAAACCTCAGCGTCGAAATTAATTCAGTCACAAATTAAATACACCCTACGAAGCCATAGAATTTCCTTTCAACGGAAATCTCTCATGAGTCGTGATTTTGACTTGCTCTGTAGGTTTCCACTCTCTGGTTGAAGGTAATTGAATTTTTCCAACTATTCTTTTCCTGCTTCATTAGAGTAGGAGGTTTTAATTGCAACGGTCGTACGTATAATAAGAGAGCTGAGCGGCGCGACAAGTTGCTGGCTCATGATTTGGGGGGGGGGGCTGCACCACTCGCTGTCTACCTGTTGCTCTAGCTCCATGCAGTACGACTTATGTGACGTTACTGTCACATTCAGGACCCAAGGCGACTTGACGTAAGAAATCATGCGTTTTGGAGTTCCGAAACTTTATGTTCCTTGCATATCGATGTATTTGACGGCGAATTTCCAAATACGGTTATGTAACGTATAATTCAATTCACAAGTATAATCATTGTCACGCCGTAGCATAATCGGTTGAGGTACTATGCTACAAGCCGGAAGGTAGCAGGTTCGATTCCCAATGAGGTGACTGGATTTTTCAGTTGACCTGATCCTTCTTGCCGCATTATGGCGCTGGGGTCGACTTAGCCTCTAACAGAAATGAGTGCTAGGAATCTTTCTGGGCTGTAAAGGGCGGCCGGTGCGGAAGGCTGATCTCACCGCCATCTGTTTGCCGATTGTCTACAAGATATGGGACCTCAACATCTCACAACTCTATGGGCCTCCACGGTCTGTTACAGGGATACTTTTACTTTTTTGTCATTAAT